TAACCTTTTGTTGGTGTTCTTTAAATGCAAAAAGACAAACTTTTTTTAAATATAATTTTATCTCTGTTACTGTGTATTGGTTATATTCCTATTTCTTCTTTTTAAGTATTACATTTATCTGTGCTTGTTCAGGAGAGGGCATGCAATGCCATGGTGTGTTTAGGGAGGTCAGAGACCAACTTGCAGGAGCCTGTTCTCTCCTTCTACCACATGGGTCCCAGGGATCGAACTCAGTTTACCTGGCTTGGCAGAAGCCAGTCTGCAAAGAAATGCTTTTTTTGGTTGTTGGGGGTTTTTTTTGTTTGGTTTTTAGCTATTATTTGTTTGGTTTGGTTTGTTTGGTTGGCTTTTGGTTTTTGATTTGTTTTGTTTTGGGTTTTTTGTTTTGTTTTTTTTTTTTTGGTTTTTCGAGACAGGGTTTCTCTGTGTAGCTTTGCGCCTTTCCTGGAACTCACTTGGTAGACCAGGCTGGCCTCGAACTCACAGAGATCCGCCTGGCTCTGCCTCCCGAGTGCTGGGATTAAAGGCGTGCGCCACCACCGCCCGGCTTGTTTTGGGTTTTTTGTTGTTGTTGTTTTGTTTTGTTTTCCAAGACAAGGTTTCTTTGTGCAGCCCTAGATGTCCTGGAAGTCCCTCTGTAGACCAGGCTAGCCTCAAACTCAGAGATCCTCCTGCTTCTGCCTCCCAAGTGCTGGGATTAAAGGTGTGTGTCACCACTGACCAGCTAAGAGGTGAATTCATATTTGTTTGTTTTTAAGCAAGGTCTCAAGTAGCCCAGGCTAGCCTCCAGGTCAATGCTGACCTTGAACATTTTTTTCTTTAGTAATTTATTTTTATTTTATGTGCATTGGTATTTTGCCTGCATGTCTGTCTATGTGGGGGTGTTGGTTCCCTGGAATTAGAGTTCCAGACAGTTATAAGCTGCATGTGGGTGCTGGGAATTGAACTCAGGACCTCTGGAAGAGCAGCCAGTGCTCTTAACCTCTGAGCCATTTCTCCAGCCCCAAGAGATGAATTCTTAAGCTGTTTTAATGATGTCATAATAATCATGGGAGGGAAGAAAAGTCAAATTTGCATATTGAAAATAATAAGCAGGGCTGGAAATCTCCATGAGTTCAAGGCCAGCCTGGTCTACATAGTAAGTTCCAGGACAGCCAGAGCTACATAGTGAGATCTTGACTTAAAAAAAAAAAAGAAAGAAAGAAAGAAAGAAAGAAAGAAAGAAAGAAAGAAAGAAAGAAAGAAAGAAAGAAAGAAAAAGAAAGAAAAAGAAAAAAGAAAGGGAAGGGAAAGAAAAAAAGAGAAGAAAAGAAAAGACATTGTTTAATTGGGCTTACAGATCCAGAGGGTTACAGTCCATGATGGTGGAACAAAGGCGTAAAGGTGGGAACAGCTGAGCGTTTACAACTCCAATAGCAAGCAGGAGGCAGAGAGCTCACTGGGAACGGCTATGCAAGTCTTTTGAAACCTGAAAGCCTGTCCCCAGTGACACACCTCCTCCACACCTCCACACCTAATCCATCCCCAAACTACCACCAGCTGGGAACCAAAGGTTCAAACCACCACCAGGTCTTTTAAATATCCTCTAGAGAGGCACCGAGACCTTACAGACATCTCACCATGTGATCATAACCTGGCTGTGGTGTAGCAGTAACAGACAGGGAGTGCTCAGGTTCTGGGGGGGGTGCATAGTTCTTCTCTTCTGGCCCTTTTCCATATGCTCCTTCCATCCACCTCTACCCTCAAGAGCCCTTCTGGCCCAGTGGGGCTGCCCCTGCTGGGATTTCCTGTTTAGCCACAGAGACAGCCTAGCTTCGGAGTGTTTTTTGACTGCTTTCACTCTGAAAGGACAGAGACCATGTGGTTTGGTCCCTTTCAGGAAGTTCTTGCCAACCCATGACTTGTGTGAATACATAGGTAGAGACTGTCTCCAAGGTAATGAGCTCTTCAAACCATAAGATTGGATTATTAGCAGTTTATATATTTTTTTACTTTTCTATATCTCCATTATTTCCCTATAATAATCATGCACAGCTTTACAATAATAATAAAATGGAGTTTTTCAAGAGCCAGATGTGTAACTCAGTAATAGAATATTTACCATACATGCATGACGCCCCCAGTTCAATGCTCAGCACCACAAAAAAATTTAAGGGCATATTCAGGAATAGAGAGATGGCTCAGAGGTTAAGATCCCCTACTGTTCTGGCATTCTTAGAGGATGTAAGTTTGGTTCCCAGCATGTACACCACACAGCTGACAACCACCTGTAACCCCAGCTCCAGGGGATCTGAAGCCTCTGGCATTTGCACACACACACACACACACACACACACAAAAATGAAAAGTGAGCTGGAGTGATGAGTCAGCAGTTAAGGGCACTGACCATGGTTGTTGATTGTTTTGCTCTTTTGGGGGTCTGCCACCAGCTCCCAAATAAATCACACATGGAGGCTTATTCTTAATTATAAATTCCTGGCCTTTAGCTTGGCTTGTTTCTTGCCAGTTTTTCTTAACTTTAAATTACCCCATCTACCTTTTGCCTCTGGGCTTTTTCCTTTTTTTTACTTCTGTAAATCTTACTTTCACTCTTACTCCATGGCTGGCTTGCTGGCTGGGTGGCTGGGTGGCTGGGTGGCTGGGTGGCTGGGTGGCTGGGTGACTGGGTGGCTGGCTGGGTGGCTGACTGGCTGGCTGGCTGGCTGGCTGGCTGGCTGGCTGGCTGGCTAGGTGGCTGGCTGGCTGGCTGGGTGACTGGGTGGCTGGCTGGGTGGCTGGCTGGCTGGGTGGCTGGCTGGCTGGCTGGCTGGCTGGCTGGCTAGGTGGCTGGCTGGCTGGCTGGGTGACTGGGTGGCTGGCTGGGTGGCTGGCTGGCTGGGTGGCTGGCTGGCTGGCTGGCTGGCTAGGTGGCTGGCTGGCTGGCTGGGTGACTGGGTGGCTGGCTGGGTGGCTGGCTGGCTGGGTGGCTGGCTGGCTGGCTGGCTGGGTAGCTGGGTGGCTGGGTGGCTGGGTGGCTGGCTGGCTGGCTGGCTGGGTGGCTGGGTGGCTGGCTGGCTGGGTGGCTGGGTGGCTGGCTGGCTGGGTGGCTGGGTAGCTGGGTGGCTGGCTGGCTGGGTGGCTGGCTGGCTGGCTGGCTGGGTGGCTGGCTGGCTGGCTGGGTGGCTGGGTGGCTGGGTGGGTGGCTGGCTGGCTGGGTGGGTGGCTGGGTGGCTGGGTGGCTGGGTGGCTGGCTGGCTGGGTGGCTGGGTGGCTGGGTGGCTGGGTGGCTAGCTGGCTGGGTGGCTGGCTGGGTGGGTGGCTGGGTGGCTGGGTGGGTGGCTGGGTGGCTGGCTGGCTGGGTGGCTGGGTGGCTGGGTGGCCCCTAGCGCCCTCCTCTCCTTGTTTTCTTGCTCCTTTTTCTTTTCCTCCCAGATTTCTCTTTCTATTTATTCTTTCTGCCTGCCAATCCCGCCTATCCTTTCTCCTGCCTGGCTATTGGCCATTTAGATTTTTATTAGACCATCAGGTGTTTTATTTATTTATTTATTTGTTTGTTTTTTTGTTTGTTTTATTTGGGTTTTTCAAGACAGGGTTTCTCTGTGTAGCTTTGGAGCCTGTCTTGGAACTCACTCTGTAGCCCAGGCTGGCCTCGAACTCACAGAGATCCGCCTGCCTCCGCCCCCAAGTGCTGGGATTAAAGGCATGAACCACTAAACTCAGCTATGAAAATCTTTTTAAAGGAGTAGATTTCAAAGTAGGATTTTTTATGAGTCTTTTTAAAAAGATTTATTTACTTTTACTTTATATGTGTGAGTGCTTTGCCTACATGTATGTCTGTGTACCACATACATGCACTGCCCACAGAATCCAGAAGGGGACATAGGATCCCCTGGAACTGGAGTTGCAGACAGTTGTGAGCTGGGAATTGAACCCAGGTCCTCTGAAAGAGCAGCCAGTGCTCTTAACCATTGAGGCATCTCTCCAGCCTGGAAAAAAAAATCAAAGTTTTGTTTTGTTTTTTAAATTACATTGCAAAGTTACAAGAACTCTCATGCACTCTGCCCCTTGTAGCAACTATGTCCCCAAGGGATTTCCCTCCCAAAAGTTGTCATTAAGAGAAGTCAGCTCCAGAAGTCTAGAAGAATAAGATCTCAGCCCCACCTCCCTCCAGGAGTCCAAGAAGAGTCAGATTCTGGACCTCTCTGAGTCATAGATGCATCCAACTAGCCATCAATAACCCACATCCCTACTCACGTAGACTACGTGTGGCCCTAGGCCACATGAGGCTCTCTGATAACTGACACTCTGGTACTTAGAGGTCCCACCCAGTGGGTATATATCTCTCCACAAAGTTGAGGCCAGACTCACTCCTCCCAGCCAGAAGCATCAGGCCAAGTCAGCTGCCTGGGAGGCCAACCACTAGGAGCTGCTCTCCTGGGGGGGGGGGGGGGTGGCGGCTCAATGCAGTGGCTGCAGGTGATGGTCCAATAAGAGTCTAGTAGTTCTGACTAGAGAGTGAGGGCTAAACAAGCCTCAGGGACTGAGAGAAAAGAAAGCAGACCCACATTCAAGACTCTGTTTTTGTTGTTGTTTGTTTGTTTGTTTTTGTTTTTTGGTTTTGGGGGTCTTTGTTTGTTTTTTGGTTTTTTGTTTTTGTTTTTGTTTTTTGAGACAGGGTTTCTCTGTGTCGTTTTGGTGCCTGTCCTGGATCTCACTCTGTAAACCAGGCTGGCCTCGAACTCACAGAGATCCATCTGGCTCTGCCTCCCAAGTGCTGGAATCAAAGGCATGTGCCACCGCCACCGGCCCAAGACTCTCTTAAGGTGGGACAGAATGCCCTCTGGCAGCTCCACAGATCGCCTTAGGCAAGGGCATCATCATCCAGCCCACCTAAGGAATGAAGCTCCAAGAGGGCAGGTCAACCCCCGAGCTGGGCATAGACAGGTGACTCGGCCACGTATCCCCACGAGTGCCTTCCGCTTGCTTCCAGAAGGGCTTACCTGCTCTCTCTGTATCCACAGGTGTATTCCTGCCCCCATCCCCAGCAGCAGCAAAGGAGCCAGGCGTGGAAGACATGGGAATGGTGGCCCTGGCCCCTCTGGCTGACATGCTGAACAGCCCACAGCTCAGTTCTGCAGCAGGCTCCCTTATCAACCCCCTGGCGGCCCCTCTCAACCCGCTGCTGTCGGGCCAAATGCCCTTGACCCAGAGCAGTCAGTTTGCTAGTCTTGTGTCATGCCCTCTGAGCAGTCACCTGACCAATCCTCTTGCCGTCTCTCCAGGGGCCACCTTGGCCAGCTCTCTGGGCTTGCCCGCGACTGGACCCCTGAGCAGTCACTTGGGCAGTCCCATGGCTGTACCCCCTGGGACCAGTCTGGCCAGCTCACTGGGCCTGACCTCCACTGGCTCCCTGACGACAAACAGCCGGCTGGCAGGCCCCCTGGCCGTATCTCAGAGCAGCCCCCTCATGGCTCCCCTCGCAGGCACAGTGGCAGTCTCTCTGAGCAGTCCCCTGCTCTCCTCCACGGCTACCCCTCTAGGTGTTTCTCAGAACATACTGCCCAACCCCATAAACAACCTAGCGCTGTCAGAGGCCCCAAGGGTGCGGCTAGCAGAGCCAACCCGAGGAAGCCTCTCAGGAGCCTCAGCCGGTGCTGGGCCAGCCACCGCCTCCAAAGGTAATTGGTACAGGGTGGGGCAGCAGGGCACCCCGGGTAGGCCAGCTCCTGCTCCCATCCTGCCTCACTCTAACCCCTCCTCTCATTTCCACTCCTCCACATCACCAGTCACCGGTGAGCACCCCCAGCCGACCCAGGACTCAGAGCCCCTCAACATGATGTTTGTGGGTGCACCCCTCCAGACCTCCACCCCCATGAGCACCATGGCCACATCCAGTCCCACAACAAATTTCTATGCCGCCACGGATACTCGGACCCAAACTGGTGTTCTCCAGGGACAAATTACCCTCACTTCTGTCCCAAACTCCCCAACAGGCTCTCCTGCTTGCACAGTCCCTAATTCTTCCCCCACACCTGCCCCCCAAGGAGCTGGAAACTATTCCCCTTCAAGAAACTCCCCCACCAGGGTTCACCAGTCCCCTACCCGGCCTGTACCCAACCCCCATTCTCCTCCACGCAACCCCCACTCCCCGCCCCGCACCTCATCCTCTCCGGCTTCAGTCAATGACACCCGCGGTTCACGCGCCGTGGAACAGTCTCGGAAGAGTATCCTGGAGATAGAGCGGAAGATGGCCCACCGCAAGTCTAACAAGTTCCCTGACAGTCCCCGAGGTCAGTAACACCACAGGGGCTCAACACTGAGTCTGGTGCCAACTCCCCTATTACCCCTCTGGACGGCTAACCATGGCCCCCCCACTCCCTTCGCTTATTGCCCAGTTGAGACCTTCTGTCATCCCCAGACTCAAAGCAGCTAGCCTGGGAGCGGCTAGTGGGGGAGATCGCCTTCCAGCTAGACCGAAGAATCCTGTCCAGCATCTTCCCAGAGCGCGTGCGCCTCTATGGCTTCACTGTCTCCAACATTCCAGAGAAGATCATCCAGGTGTGTGGCTATCCATTTCCTACACATTGCCAGAGGGGCCTCCACGGATGGGGCAGTAAGCTCAGTACTAAGGGGCCCGGCATTTAAGGGGACTCTGAAATGGAGGGAGCCCAGGGCTCAGTGCAAGCAGCTGGCAAGGGGCCAGAGCATCTGGTCATGGGAACCCATGAAGAAAGGACAGGGGGATGTTTCCTCCAATGGGCAGGTGGCATTCCTCTTCTTGCCTCCAAGATGGTCTTTGAATGGTCAGCTCTAACCCCAGGGGCTGAGCCAGCAACCTAAAGAATTCTATGGTCTTCCCCTTCAGTATCCCCACTGCTCACTGGGGACCAGAGGGAGCACAGATCCTAGAGCCACTGAGTAGGTGGCAACATTGTTGCCAGAAGACCTGATGCTCATGCTAATGTGTCCTCAGATATGACCACGGAAGCCTCCTCCCATCGACAAAAGGGAGTTATATGTTTAAAAACAACAAAAAAACTAAGAAACAAGGAACTGGAGTGTGTCACTGCAGCCCTGTGTCTTACAGGCGTAGATGGCACTGGTAGGGGGGTGAGGCCTGGGGATGTGGGTCTGCACTTGGCTGGATACCCAGGAGAAGTTTGTTCAGAATTGTGTCATGTGGGACAATGGTGGGATTCCTATTCCTGCATATAGGCCATTTGGGCCTCTCTCGGGGGGAAAATGGCTTCCCCGGGTTGCCAACTGCTTGTTCTCTTCCCATCATTGTGTACAGATCGTACTACCTGCCATCTGTGTAGGAACGACTTTTGACCACACAGGCCGATTCTCGGCATGCCTTTTCCTTGGCTAAAGTGTCTTTTGATTTAGATGCTTTTTTTTTTTTTTTTTTTTTTTTTTTTGCTTTGCTTTTTAAAACAGGGTCTCGCTGTGTGACCCTGAATGGTGTGGAACTTACTTTGCAGCTCTGTAGGCCAGGCTGGCCTCGAACTCACAGAGATCCTCCTGCCTCTGCCTCCCGAGTGCTGGGATTAGAGGCGTGCACCACCTTTGCCTGGTTTAGATGCTTAGTTTTCATGTGTTCAGAACTGTCTGCCTTTGCTATTGTTGTGTGTAGTGTCTCAATTAAGAAATCTCTCCCTAGTGGGGGCAGTGGTGGCACACAACTTTAATCCCGGCACTCAGGAGGCAGAAGCAAGCGGATCTCTGTGAGTTCGAGACCAGCCTAGTCTACAGAGCTAGCTAGTTCCAGGACAGCCAGGACTACCCAGAGAATCCTTGTCTTGGAGGGAAAAAAAATCTTTCCCTAGCAGAAATTCCTTAAAGTATTTTGTATTTCATAGTTAACATTTTCTCCTAAGGGTTTAAAGTTTGAGTTTTCCAAAAATCTTAAAGATTGGTTTTTCTTTTATTTATGTGTATGCATGTATGGGGTGGGGGTACCTGGTGTAGATGCTGAGAACCAAACTCTGGTCCTCTGGAAGAGCAGCCAGTGCTCTTAACTGCTGAGCCATCTCTCCAGCCCCTAAAGTTTGGGGTTGTTTTTTGTTTTTTATTTTTTATTTTTTTTATTTTTTGCATGTGTGTCTTTGTTTTGAATCTTTGGCTCTTCCATAAATGATCATGGTAGAAGAATAGGTAAGGTAGGGCACGTCCTCTCCCAAACATGAAAGCCCCTGACTAACTCCAAAGACCACCAAGACACAGGGTGCCCGTTGCATTAGGGTGACTCCAGGGCTAGAGGGGTAGGCCTTGAGATTGAAGGACGAGAGGAAAATGACGAGGAAACAGAGGGCTATGTGGACATGATAGCAGCAGAAAATGAACACATTTTTTTGAGGGGCACAGCCTATCTATGGAGATCTTTCTCACAGAAGTTCACTAATGGGCCAGTCAGTGCAGACTGTCAAAGCTCAGAGCTGCCAGGACAAGGAAGGATGCCCAGTGCCTGCCAGTATCCCTCTCAGACTTGCATCTATGAGGGTTCTCTGGTCTGTCTGGTCCCAGCCTCCTTGTCCATTTATACGATGGCAGGACAGCAGCGTTCCTGGTTGCCAGTGGACAGCCATCACCCAGAAACTCAACCAAAGAGGGCCCAATGCCATAGCAACAGAGACCACAAGATGCCAAGGGGTGGCTGACATTCTAAAGAGGGGCTTGGGATAGAGCTCAGGTGGTGGAGTGCCTTTTTCTAGAATGCGTTAAAGCCCTGGACTTTATCCCATCACATGAGCCAGGCTCCTCCTTGTTCTCTTATATTGTCTTAGCTCTTTCCTTTTCTGCTTATTTTAAAATCTGTCCATCAAGTTCCAGAAAATTGGCCCAAATTTTGAGTTAGTTTATGGATGGATTAAATGGATAATTTCTAGATTACCCTTTTTTTTTGAAACATGGTCTCATGTAGCCCAGGCTGGCCTTGAATTCACTTTATAAGCCAAGGATGACCTTAAGTTTCTGAGACTCCTGCCTCTATCTCCAAGTCCTGGGATTAGAGGTGTGTCCCACCACGTCTGGTTTTATGAGATGCTGGACCTATCATAACAGCTTGTCTTCTGCCCAAGAGCCTCCAGCGTCTCTTTCAGACTCAGTGTCTCATTTTACCTCTAACAGCAGTGATCCAGAGACTCTCCTGCCTCCGGAAAAACTCAAGTGAACCCACTCGCAGACAAAGTGGCCTCCTGGGGCCAGGTTGGCACCCAGCCATACCCTTCTGTAGAGCCTTCTCCAGGCCAATTGGTATGGTGACGTTTGGAAATCATAAAATCACCTCCTGGCTTCAAGAGTATCCACCCACCAGGTTGGGGCTTCGGTTAAGTCACGCATCTGATTCCACTTTGCACAACTTTTATTTCCCTTTTTAAAAAATATTTATTATGTACACAGAAGAGGTTGCCAGATCTCATTACAGATGGTTGTGAGCCACCATGTGGGTGCTGGGAATTGAACTCAGGACCTCTGGAAGAACATTCAGTGCTCTTAACCTCTGAGCCATCTCTCCAGCCCTATTTCCCTTTTTCAATTTGTCTGTTTTTCTATACTTCAGTGTCACTGGTTAGAACCCCTAAATTCTACCCAGACCTGCTAAAGCTAGTCACACAAGTGATTGTCCCTACAAGCCCCTTGCTTTCCAAGGCTGTACGGGTTTAGTGAGTTGAAACTTTGATGGAGACTTTTGTTTGACGAAGACCCTGGCTTTCCACTGAATCTGGCTGTCTTATTTTTATTAGCTCATATAGTTACACTATATTTTGGTTTTGTTGTTGTTAGTTTTTTGGGGGCGTTTGTTTTGTTTTGTTTTTCTCACTGTGTACCCCTGGCTGGCCTAGAGCTTATCAAGTAGCCCAGGTTGGCCTAATACTTACAGTGCTCCTTTGGCCTCCCAATTACATAGATTAGAGCCACACATCACTATGTCCAGTACCACTGTGTCTTTTTTTTTCTAAGTTTTATTTGTGTGTGTGTGTGTGTGTGTGTGTGTGTGTGTGTGTGTGTGTGTACATGGTAAATGCATGTACCGTTAAGAGCCTGAAAAGGCCCAAAGTATTTGATCCCCTCAAGCTGGAGTCTCAGGTAGTTGTGAACCATGGCCCAACATAAGTGCTGGCAGTCGAACTTTGGTCCTCAGCAAGAAGAGTGCATGCTTTTATCGGCTGAGCCATCTCTCCAGCCTGGTTGTGCTGTCGTTTAAACCCACCTAAAACTGGTGACAGAGCTCCAGCTTCTTGCCCTTCCTATCCAGTTGTGAAGAACTTTGTGGAAGGTGTTTGACGTGCCTTTCCTCTTCGCACCTCATCTAGGGGCCTCGAGTCCAACTGTGTCCATGTGAGAGTGACTAGGGCCGTGCAAGGGTGGCAGGTGGTGCCTTGGCTACTCCTTGATGGTCTCCCGAGAACCATCTCATTTTTACGTACTGATTTGGTACCCGAACCATCTGAAGTATCCAAGCCCTCTTAGGCATTCTAATCATCTGGATTTTTCTTGGTAACAATCATATTGCTTATCTAGACAGATATATATTCTTGACATGTAACCCAAGTAAGCTTCAACCCTACTGACCTCATACCTCAGCCTCCTGAGATGTCCGGCTACTGTGTTGTTTTTGTATATTTGGGTTATTGAGACAGGTCTTGTTAAGGAGCCCAGCTGGTCTGGAACTCAGACTAGTCTCAAAACTTGCTGTGATAATCATTTCTTTTCCTCCTGAGAGGTAGGATGACGAGTATGCCCCATTGTGCCCAGAGAATGAGTAAATGAATATTTATTTACTTATTTACTTGTTGAGACAAAGCCTTGATGTGTATGTATCCCTAGCTGGACTCATACTATGTAGCCCAGGCTAACCTTGAACCTGAGTCGATGTTCCTGTCTTAGTCTCTAGAGTGCTATAGTTACAGGCATGAGCCACTGGGCCCACCTATTCCTTTACTTTTTAAAATATTGGGCTGGAGAGATGGCTCCATAGTTAGGCACATGTATTGCTCTTCCAGATCTCAAAATCTATATCTGGTGACTCACAACCACCTCTAACTCCAGCTCCAAGGGCTTCCAAAACCCCTGGTCTGTGTGGGCCCCTGCATTCACATGTACATACTCACACACTGATGCATACATATAATTAAAAATAACAAGAATGTTTTTATTAATTTTTTAAAGATTTATTTATTATGTATACAGTGTTCTGCCTGCATGTATCCCTGCAGGCCAGAAGAGGGCACCAGATCTCATTACAGATGGTTGTGAGCCACCCTATCGTTGCTGGGAATTGAACTCAGGACCTTTGGAAGAGCAGCCAGCCAGTCTCTGAGCCATCTCTCCAGCCCCTTTTTATTAATTTTTAAATAAAGAAAAATTAAATATTGACATATGAAACTGATACATAAAAACATAAAAATCAGGGCTTACAAGGTAGCTCAGCTAGAGAATGCTTGCCTAGCCATACTACCTAAACCAGATGTGGTGCTAGAGTGCCTCCGGCCCCAGAACAAAGGACACAGAAGGAGGAGGATCAGGAGCTCAGGGTCGTACCTAGCTACTTAACAAGTTCAGGATAGGCCACATAAGAGTCTATCTCAAAAGAGAAAAAAAGAAAAACCAAGAACAGGACAAAACATGAAATCATCCCTCTTCATGGGATGCCATTTGATATGACACATACGTACATACATTGTGTAATCAGGTTACACATATATTTCTACTCAGGTCTTTTCAGTTTTTTTTTTAAGATTTATTCTATTTTCAAATATGCATAGCCTGTGTGTGTGTGTGTGTGTGTGTGTATGTGTGTGCAGGCACCCTTAAGGTCAGAGATGTCAGATTCCCGGGAGCTAAATAGACTTGGAGGTTATGAGCCACCTTGACATGGGTGCTGGGAACCAAACTCAGGTTCGTTTCTTCCTTTTTTTTTTTTTTTTTTTTTTTTTTTTTTTGTGCTCGGTGTCAAACCCAGAGTCTTGTGTGAATGCTAGTGTTCTACCAAATCTCAATTCTTTCCTCATCACGATTACATTGGTACATCTTTTTGCAACTTATATACAGCAGTAGATCACACAGGCAACCTTTCCTTTATCTGACAAGAACGCTAATCTCCTCATTGTACTCCCACCTACCTGAAAGGTTCTTAGACAAATCATCCAGTGTTCTTGGTTGCAAACAACTGATGCAAACAGATATGGATTTATTATAATATTAAGGTCCTCAGCTCCAGGAAGGATACAACATTGCATTTGTTTGCTATACTGCCCAGAAAAAAATGTTAACACACCAAGGGACGGACCTTCCTAGTGGACACACCATGGGCACCAGCCCCAAGACAGTATATAGATACCCAGTCAGGTGTCCCCCAGTTGAGTACAGCTGTCCCTGAAGAACCAGTGCCATACCCATGGTACTCCCTGGAGACCTGCCAGCCTTCTATGTGTAAGCGCCTCTTCCCACGTGGAAGTCCCACCTGCCTGTCTGCATCCACTTGCTTGGTAGAAACGTAGGTACCTTGACTACAGAGGGATGTTGGGAAAGGTGGTGTTCAGGAAGACCTTCCGGCCCTGTTAGAACAGCAGTGTGTCTGTCGTTCCAGGTTAGGAGCTTTCCAGTAACTCTAGGGAAAGCCTGCAAGCTCTGAGGTCAGGCAAGCTGGGAGTATGAAGCGCTCCCTGTGCCTCCATACTGGGAGTCATATACTCCCTGACCTCCATCCCTGGTGGCTTTACCCTAGTCTCATATATCTGGTACGGAACAAACAATGGGATGGGTGTCTCTGGAAGCTTTGGGAAGCCACTGGGCCGGCCCTGCCCGAGTTGGGTTTTGGGTGCCTCCACCTCAGGCTCAGCCACAGCCTCTCCTCCTTCCCTTTGCATCCTCTGAGCAATACTTAACGATTTCCTTCCCTCCGCCTCTCTTGCCCCTGTTCTTCCTGCCTGCCTGTGATCCAGAGTGGTATGGGAGGTCCCTGATGCCCACTCTCCCAACAGGCCTCCCTAAACCCCAGTAACCACAAGCTGGATGAGGACCTATGCCAGACACTCACACAGCGCTATGTGAGCATCATGAACAGACTGCAGAGTCTGGGCTACAATGGACGGGTGCATCCGGCGCTGACGGAGCAGCTGGTGAATGCATACGGCATCTTGCGCGAGCGGCCTGAGCTGGCAGCGTCTGAAGGTGGCTCCTACACTGTGGACTTCTTGCAGCGTGTGCTGGTGGAAACGGTGCACCCCAGCATGCTCACTGATGCTCTCCTGCTGCTCTCCTGCCTTAACCAGCTGGCCCATGATGACGGCAAACCCATGTTCATCTGGTAACTGCAGTGCCCGGCTGGGCCCAGGCTCACTTCGCCCTGCAGGCCATTGTAGATGGCCATTAAAGTTTCCCACAGACACGAGTCACTGGGCCCATGCCACACCTACCTGCTCCTGTAGGGTGCCTCACTAGGTACATTCAGTCTTGTCAGCCCTGCAGGGCCACATTCACATTATAGGCTCCTAGAGAGACCTCTCAGATCAAGGCTCAGACACTGTCTTTCTGAAGGGATTGAATGGAAAGTTCACTTTTCTTTCCCAAGTTCCCTTTCACTTGATAATGAAAGCAGAAGTTCTGGGAGTGAGGAGGAAAAAAAAGAACAGGAACGGGGAAGGATGACACACACAGAAAAGCAGAGACTAAGGGGGTGGGGAGCTTCAGAGTCTTGGGGCGGAAGGACATCCAGGTGCCACCTCATCCAAACCTGAGCAGGGAGCCAGGGAGATGGCAGCCCCTTGCAAAGATGTCCAAGGTCTGGGAAAATGATAGGTCCTATCTAAGCATGGGGGATTCAGAGCTGGCCAGGGAATAAAGAACATGAGTTGGAGAAGCAGGATGGGGTGGAGAGAGGAGGAAAGAGGGACTCATATGGAGTACTGGAATCGAAGTGTAGCCTGAGATTGGAAAGGCTGTGGTAGTACTGGGAGAGTGTAGACCAAGAATGGGTGGGTTCATAAAAAGGGCAGGGGGGGAAAGCCTAGAATAGCTTCCGGCCTGTCTGATGGTACAGGTGCCATGGCTAGAACAAGGAAAAGAAGCTGGGCAGGGGTGGTGCACACCTTTAGTCCCAACACTTGGGTGGCAGAGGCAGGTGGTCTACAGAGCGAGTTCCAGAATAAATAGCAGGACTACACAGAGAAACCTTGTCTTAAAAATCCATCAAAGGGGCGGGGGCGGGGGGGGGATGATAAAAGAACCAGGGTCTTAGAAAACTATTCCTTACCAGTCAAAAACACAGAAGAGCCTTGGGGTCTGAATTCAAACAAGAATCTTATCAGTACCAATAAAAACTCCAGGAAGAGAGAGGTGTGGAGTTGTTGAAGTCTTCCAGCTGAATACCCAGGCCCCATTAGGACTTATCACCTTCTGCCCTGACCACTCCCATCAGAGAGACTTTGGGAACCCAGCCAGATAGCTTATTAGCAGTCGCCTCATCAAAAGTGTCTCCACAACTATCCTGGCAACCTGAGTGAAGACAGGCAGCCAAGACAAACCTGATGGACAACTTAAGAGACACTTAGGGTTGACATCAGGGTGGATGCTGGCTCACAGCTGGAATTAGGGAGGCAGACTTCCAAGGGAAGCAGAGAAAAGTCCTTGAAAGCCAAGAGAATGTAAGAGCCTGAAGTTAAGCTGGGCAGTGGTGGCGCAGGCCTTTAGTCTCAGCACCCGGGAGGCAGAGGTGGGTGGATCTCTGAGTTCGAGGCCAGCCTGGTCTACAGAGTGAGTTCCAGGGCAGCCAGGGCTACACAGAGAAACCCTGTTTCTGTAACACACAAAACAAACAAACACCAACTAAAGTCGGTGTTAGAGAGCTCGTAGAATGGGGAGCCTTCTTTTACCTGGCTCATGTGTCCGGGCAAGCCTCCTTAAAGTGTAGAACTTAACGGTCCCTCCCCCGACTTGAAGCTCCCAAGTCACAGCCACAACTTTGCAAGCCATTGGTGTTGGGTATTTGCGCTCAGGCGCCAGGTACAAGCACCTGCCTGCGGTGTAGCCAGACTGTAAGGCTTATTGGAGGCGGGGTGGGGAAGGCTAGGCATAAGGCGGGGCCCTACGTTTTTCTCAAAGCCCTAAGTGGAGCCACAGCGGGAGGCGTGCAGTGGGCGGGGCTGTGAAGCCCGGGTTCTTTTTTTTTTTTTTTTTTTCCCCTTCCCAACCGCCACAGAAGTTCTGAGTGGGTGGGGCCAGTGTCCAGAACTCAGGCTCCTGGGGCACAGGTCCTTACTAGCGGCACGCACAGGTTGTGCTACCTGGTCTTGACCTCCTGCAGCTCGTGCGGACTCTCAGGATACCAACTCTCACGCTGGGAAGGAATGAGTCTCCCTGACGTTTCTCAGCGAAGGAGTTCTGTGCGCCATGATCCCTCACTCGACTGGCCCCCAACACCCGACGCCCTGAGGCCTTCACCCTTCCCGCACCCCGCGCTACAAGCCCTCAACAGCTTATGCCTCATGCTGCTCTTCCCAGCCTACTGGTCTCTGGACCAGTTGCTGGGCTGCTGGGCACCAATGGCGCGATCCAGCAGCTTGGGGTGGCTCAAAGTCCTGGCAGGAAGTGGGGCGGCGTTGCTATCGCTGATGGTAGTTGGCCTACCCCTGGCGATGTTTGCCCTTGTGCTCTGGCTGCCCCTACAGGTCTGCCGCCGCCCCTTCTGCTATCTGCCCCCTCCGGCCTGCTGGGTGTGGCCCCAGCCCTGGCACCCGCCTGCTGAGCGCGTGCGCTGCTTTGTCTTTTTCACTGCCAATCTGTGCCTGCTCCCTGATGGGCTGGCACGCTTCAGCAACCTGTCGCACAGCCAGCAGCGTGCAGAGGCCATTGGCGCTACACTGCTAAGTGGCCTTCGAACCTCACACTATGGGGCTACCGGATGCAGCCAGCCGCTGTCTGAGGTGCCTGGTGGTGTGCTGAGGGCCACAATACCCACGGGTTTGGACTTCGTGTGCCTGCAGGAAGTGTTCGATCTCCGCGCAGCTCGTCGCCTTGTGCGCGCCTTGGGGCCAAATCTGGGCCCAGTGCTATACGATGTGGGCACATTTGGCTTACTGCCCGGGCCGTACTTCAAGGTACTGGGCAGTGGGCTTCTACTAGCCTCCCGCTACCCGCTGCTGCGTGCCACCTTCCGTTGCTTTCCTGATGCTCGTCGCGAGGACGCCATGGCCTCTAAAGGTCTACTGTCTGCCCAGGTACTAACAGGCTGCAATGAACTCTAGCAGGGAGAGGGTAAGCAGTGGATCTAACAAGCAAGGAGAGCTGGAACTGTGGGTGGTGTTGCAGGCACAACTGGGCATCCTGGACGGGCGCCGTATCGTGGGATACCTTCATTGCACACACTTGCAGGCACCCGCTGGTGAGCTCTGCAGGAGGGGTTGTTGGAATGCGGGCAGCAGGTCCCTAACCTCACCAACGCTTTTGTCCCTCCGTCCCAATGTTTTCTGCCCCAGACATCCCAAGCAATGCCTGGGTGGGTTTACAGATGAAGACCTGGGTATGGTCTTGGATCCCCACTCTGGGCTAAGCCAACCCCAACTCTCCTCTTAGAAGACGGGCATGTTCGCTGCAAACAGATGACGCTGCTGCTGGAATGGGTGGAGGAGTTTGAGGCTGAGAGCCGCCATAGTGGTGAGGCTGTAGCCTTCAGCGTCCTCCTAGGAGACCTAAACTTTGACAACAGCTCACGAGGTGAGAAACTGGCGCGGGTGGGGCGGAGAGACCCAGCTCTGCCTGCTAAGAAACGGTTTTCCTCTACAGATCACGCAAAGGAGCAGGGCCACAAACTCTTCAGCTGCTTCCAGGACCCCTGCCGGCTAGGCACCCGCCAGGAGCAGCCCTGGGCCTTGGGTACTGCTTCTGTGGAGGCAGGGAGAGTAGGTCTGTGGGATCCCCATCAGCAAGGCTGCCACTGATTCTACTCTCGCTCTCCCCGGACTCCGCAGGGACGATTTTGAGCACTTCCATGCTACACCATGCCATTGCCAGCTCCCCAGAGATGCTTCGGAGGTAAGTTGAACGAGCCCAGGCACTGTTAAGCAGGCCAGCTGGGAGGATCTACCCTAGCCTCAGTGATGCTGTCCCTCTCCTAGGGCCCTGGAGCAGGAAAAAGGGCGCCGCCTCTACCTGGCAGGAAGTAGAAGTCACTCCAGTAAATCCTGGCAGGGCCGGCGCCTGGACTATATCACCTACCGCGGAATACCAGGGAGTCGCCTGAGTCCAGTAAGTGCCTGAGCTGGGGGCAGTTAGGCATACTCAGACTGAAAACAGCTCTCAACTTGATTCCTGCCCCGTAGGAGGTGGAGCAGGTGACTTTCAGTACTGCACTGGCTGGGCTCACGGACCACTTAGCTGTGGGCCTGAAGCTTCAAGTTGTGTGCTCCTGACTGAAGCTGGCACACAAAGTGATGACCGGCAAGAAAGACCACCATGAGGAGCCAATCCCGATAACCGTGCACCTCAAAGGATCTTTATTGTGAGGCACTCACACAGCTTCCTGGGCACGGCGGTACTCGTATACACTGCCGCGCTCTGGGAAGGCTGGAAATAGTGGGGGCGAGCCTGGTGGTGGCGTTGGGTCCTCCGGGTCTCCGTAGCCCCCACCGCCAGGCGTGTGAAGGCAGAACACGTCCTGGGAAGAAGAGCAGGTTCAACACAGCTGTGGCCTTATCCCAGTAAGACAAGCAGTCACCCGGGATCACAGAGGCCCCTAGACAGCCACCCTATTTTAATTTGGAGCCAAATTAAAATTTTGCATCTTTGTTCACGACATGGGCTGCGTCTCTTACCCCAGGGTACACGGTCACAGATGTCTTCCCGCCCAAATTCACCGTGCGCCCATCCTTTCTGATTAGGAGGTTTAAACCTCGTGCACCAGGCTCTCCCCCTGCAGGAGGAGGAAACAGGAAACTGGGAGTCTAGCCCGGTAGGGGCAGGAGTTTGCCGGGAAGTAAGGGCTGGGGAGCTACCCACCGTGGAGGCCGTAAGGCTGAAATGCCCGGCGCTCGGTAAGCACGGACAGCAGCGCCTCTTCCCGAAAGACCAGCTCTCGGATGACGCCATCACCTCCCCGGAAGCGACCTCGGCCCCCAGAGCCTGGCCTCAGCTCAAAGCGCCGCAGGATAACCGGGTACCTGTGCAGGTGAAGGGCACAGCGCAGATGAGTGCGGACTCATCACCCAGATCAACTGCCTAGCACTGCGACTGCTCAGCTCACCGGCTCTCCAGAATCTCCGGGTCCGTGATGCGTGTGTTAGTCATGTGACTGTGTACACCACTGCGTCCATGCCAGCCAGGTCCCGCGCCCGCACCACCAGCCACCGTCTCATAGTATCCCATACGGGCATTGCCCAGGGTCACGTTGTTCATGCAGCCCTGACAGAAGCAGATGACAGTATTTTGTTAATGTGGGCATCAACCCCCACCACCCTGTTTACTAGCAACCCCCAGACCTTTGCTCCAATCACACCTGGGAGGCTGAACAGGCCCCAAAAGCTCCCAAAATGACGTCCACTACTCTCTGAGATGTGAGCACGTTGCCACCCACCACTGCTGCCTCTGGGGATGGGTCCAAGATGGAGGCTTTGGGAATTATTACACGCACAGGAGCCAGGCAACCCTGGTGAATGAATAGAGTGATTGATTAGGGCTGGGTACCACCTAGATTCAGATAAAAATCCCACCACCCTAGGCTCTGTTTTATTGGGCTGCCTTTGTCTTCAGGCAAACCTCAGGGTGACCCCAGACTTGTGCTGACCTCACAGCACACCCCTACGAACCTGGTTAAGTGGGATGTCACGGCCCACTAGACAGCGCAAGCAATAGATGAGAGCAGATAGTGTTATGGCCCGCGGGGCGTTGAGATTGCCAAACACCTCGGACCCAGAACCGCTGAAGTCAAACACTGCGCTGCCCTACCCACGAGGAGGAAAGGTGTGGCTATCGGCAACCCGCCTCACCCCAGAGGCCGGTGTCAGCGCTCTCCCCTCTCGCCTCACACGCTAACCTGACTCAGGTTGATCTGAACACGCAGGCGGATAGGAGAGCCGTCATCCATGTGATCCTCCGCAGACACCTCGAGGGGCAGGCCCCGGACCTGCCGGGAGGTTCCAAAAGCCCGAAGCATGTCTCGAACTGCTAGTTCAGCGTTTGCCTAGCAGGAAAAAGGTTCAGCCCAGCCATGCCACCTGCAGGGTGGCCCAGCTACCTTGGAGCAGTCACAACACTGCCCCATGTATGCTCCTGTCCCCAGGCCCACCTGAATATGACCCATATAGGCCTGCACCACATCCAAGCCATACTGCCCGATCAGCTCTCCCACCAGCTGGATGCCCTTCTGGTTGGCTGCCACCTGGGCACGAAGATCCGACAGGTTGTCATGCAGGTTCCTGGTTCCACTACAGCCAGAGATCTTGCCCGGGGCCCGCAGGGCCTCTGTCACCGCTGGATGGACAGGGTCACAACTGAGTCACCTTCCACGTCCTCAGGAACAGTTGCCTGTGCCTGTCTGTCCCACACCCACAACACATACACTGGGCACTGGGAGAACCCTATTGACCTGACTTCCCACCTCCCCTGTTGCAAACTCCTGTGCTCTGAAGATAAAGGATAGGCTCCGCCCTTCTGCTGAGCCCTCTTCTTCAGCCCAGCATCTGGAGCACCTTTGGCAAGCAGCAGTGCCAGTGACTTTGCTGGAGCTGGAGGCGGCTTGGGAGAGGGTGGGTTCATCCCTCGGCAAGCTCATCTATCTACCTCTTCTAGGCTCCCCTCTACACTTGACAGGAAGAAGCCTCCCTGACACCCCCCCCCACATGCACCTTGTCCTGTCCGCCCTATGTCCTGCCCACTCCCACTGGCCTTCTAGTACTTCAAGAATATAAGGCGCCACAGGGCTGGAGACATGCTCAGCAGTTAAAGAGCCCTTGATGCTCTTTGACAGGATCTAGGATCCGTTTTCAGCACCCCCACAAGGAGCCTCATAACTGCCTGTAACTCCAGTTCCTCTTCCGGTCTCCAAGGACATCTGCATACATGTGGTGCACATACATGCACTCAGGCAAACAGGTACACATAAAGACTGTCGGGCACCTGTCATTCCTGTCCTCTTCCTGCAGTTTCCTACATCCAGACAAGGTTCCCCCTGCACTCCAGGGACTATGCCACACCAGGGGAAACCCTTCTCTTTCCAGTCTTGGTCATGGACTTCTCTGAGGTCTACTGGCCACTTGTCCCCTCAGCCACATGTTTACACTTGTGTCTCCATGATCCACCTCAGCTCCCAATGATCCATGTTATCCTATGTGTCTGTGGCACCCAGAGAGTGGCCTGTGGCTGCTCTGTTACCCCCACCTCGACCATGCCCTTATCACCTCAACTCCAAGAATTCCTTTCTGAGCTCTCACACCCCTGTGACCTCAGAAGAGCACTGTCTTTTCCAGTGCCTCCATCTTGCCTGCAGCTGCTCTCTGCTGCTCAATGCAGAGCCTCCAAACCGGACCCTACAATCTCCACATTGTACCACTTCAGTTCCCAAGCAGTTCCTTCCACCCTCTGCCACCTGGACAGCGCCATCTTGGAGGGTGACTCCCGCTGTCGCCTCTGACCACTCTGCCCACCCTCAGGGTTACTCTGCAGATGGGTGTGCAAGCAGACCAGGACAGCTCCAGTTGCTCCACGGCCCAGTGACTGAGACCCAAACCCAGACAGGGGACCTGTAGCCTCAATACCCGGTGTAGCTGGTAGCAGTTGCCAACCTTGAAACAGCCTCTCCCCTCTGCCCCCTGGGTGTCTTGGCCAACTCCCCGCCCCAGAATCATCTTCAAGGAGACCCTCTTTGGTCCAGACATAAGCCATCTCAGCACTTCTGCATAGCTGAGGTGATTCACAACTGCCCCGAGAGATCACCACTTGTCTCTGGCCAAGCCTCAAGGCAGGCCTGAGCTGATATATCAGGATGTATCAGCTGTGTATCGGGATCCTGCCCAGCCTGGTTCCTGGTAGCAGCCATGCATCCCTGCCTGCTGAATCCTCACGGTGACCCTTCTCCAGCTCACCCTCTTCCTGGAAGACGCCTCCCTGGACCAGTTTGAAGGACAGAAAAACGGCACCCTCCTGTTGCAGTGCGGTAGAGTGAGGAGGCATAGAGCCCGGCGTGATGCCTCCAATGTCTGCGTGGTGCCCCCGGCTAGCCACGTAGAACACGGGCCGTGTCTGGCCTGGCCAAAACACCTAAGGGGTGAACAGTAACTGTCAGTCACCAGAAACCTCTGTCCCTCTGGTAGTAGCCTAGGTAGCACTCCTCACCGGGGTGATAACCGTCAGGTCCGGAAGATGGCTGCCCCCGGCACTGGGATGGTTGCTGAGCAGCACGTCACCAGGATGCAGGTCAGCTCCTAAGTGCTGAATCTGAAATCAGAAGACACAGACAGAGTGGAAAAGGAAAGTGAAGTCATGGGAAAGGGAGGGGGGCAGAAAGGAAAAATGTCACCGTCGTCACACCTGGAACTGGACAGTCTCCTGCATGGCACCCAGATGCACAGGAATGTGGGGCGCATTGGAGACCAGGCCCCCATCTGGCCCAAAGAGGGCACAGGAGAAGTCAAGGCGTTCTTTGATGTTGGTGGAGATGGCTGTGCGCTGTAGGATTCGGCCCATCTGCTCTGGGGGCACAGAGTAACCAGGTAGCCCCATCACCCACATGTATAGGCCCCAAGAAAGAGGCACAGGACCCACAGGGTCAAGGCCTCCTGTGCTCAAACCTAGCAACTTTTCTGTGCCCTGGGGAAGACCAGGGTGGCAGCACACCTTCTTAGGCAGTGAGGTTGTAGCCAGGTGTATGTTAGCTTATGAAAAGAGCGTTCTTTCCAGCCTGCCTGGGGTCTCTCTTCAGCTTTCCTCCCTGACTGGTGCATCAAGAACCTGGTGTCCGTCCGTCCGTCCGTCCATCCGTCGTCGTCCCCCCCCCCCCCCCGTTTGACCTTGATATCCTCCCTATTCTAATTCCCTGCTGGGTTCCACCCTCCTGAATACTTAAGGGAAGTTCCTTGTCTGTGTATCCTGCATATTGGGCGTTAACAGCTTAGATACAAGAATGTAAAACATCTGTAGCGAACTTCTGCCCTCCGGGGTTCTCCCATTGTGCTGTAAGCCTGTATTTAAGACCTCTTCCCTCCTTCAATAAACAGCATTTGGCATTAAAAAAAAAATTGTGCCGGGCGGTGGTGGCGCACGCCTTTAATCCCAGCACTCGGGAGGCAGAGCCAGGTGGATCTCTGTGAGTTCGAGGCCAGCCTGGTCTCCAAAGCGAGTACCAGGAAAGGCGCAAAGCTACACAGAGAAACCCTGTCTCAAAAAACCAAAAAAAAAAAAAAAAAAAAAATTGTGATAGGGATGCTGAAGTGTAGCTCTTCACAGTTGATGGATTCTGGTGGGGGCGGGGAAGGACTGGTTTTCTTTAAGGGGCTGCCCACTGGGAGTTTGATCATGATCCAGTGAGT